TTCACTGGTTGATATTTTTTTGACTTACATAATTTTACAGCTCTTATCACAATCCGTACATCCATCTGTTGTCTCAAGCACATTTGTACAGGTTGATTTTTTAAAGAAGTTGATTGCCAGGCCTTTCTACTGTGGTTCCTCTGGGTGAGCTTAACCCTCCAAACTTTTGGCTAGCAGCTGAGGGCATGAATCAATTGTACAACCTAGACCGGTGGTTCTCAATCTGTGGGTTGTGACCCCTTTGGGAGTCTAACAACCCTTTCACAGGGGTCGCCTGATTGATAAGAGCAGCAAAATATCAGTTATGAGGTAGCAACGAAAACAATTTTGTGGCTGGGGGGGGGGTCACCACCACATGAAGAACTGTATTAAAGGGTCGCGGCCTTAGGAAGGCTCTGTCACATAACAGGCACTATTAATAGAAGCTAGTGTTCTATGTTGTTTTATACTGAATGATTGATATTTAAATTATATGTAACTTGTATTTTCAGCTAATTAAACTTTCAGATACATTCTAGAAGTGGAGTTGTTAGTGCTGCTTGCTGCTGGAGTGATCATGACTCATGGTGAGGACACGAGTACAAAGTGGAACCCCTGCTGTACAGGGTTTTCAGGCCTGTGATCTTTTGGGAACAGACCATTGGCCTGTCTTCTGAGGTATCTCTGGGCATTTAGATAGGAATCACCGACCTTTTGGCCAGTGGAAGAGAACATAACAATGCCATCCAGGACCAAGAAGTGGGGTAATGGGAATGTGAAACTAAATATGAAAGCCTGGTTATGAGGGTCCAGTTCATACATGCATGGGTTATTTCAAATAAAACATGTTTAAGCATGTGGATCATCAGTGGAGAGCTGCAGACAGATTCTCTCAGTACTGTACTTGCCTCAGTCTCCTTAAGATTCCGTCAAAAAAATGGTTCAGTCCAAAGAATGACTTCCAAGTGGTTCTGGTAGGCCAATTTGAGTCAAGTCCCAGTAGGTTATGGTGACTGCTTTGGGAAACTTCAAAGGGACAGTCTTGATAGACTTTTTTTTTAATCAAAGGACACAAAATTATCACACAGTTTCATTGCACATTTGTGAGGAAAGGGCCTGAAGATTGTACCAAGGATTTTTTTCTATTACAACCGTGCACCTGCTCATGCTTCAAGGATGGAAAAAATACAGCTTTCCTATAAAATTTTACCTCATCTACCCTAGAGCTCTGATCTTGAGTTTTCACACTTCTTTTTTGTTTCTTAAAACTCAAATAGCATTTTAAAAGAACATGATTCGAGGTTTCCAAAACTGCCATTTTGACGTGGTATGAATTGGAAAGTTCAGAATTCTTTAGAGAAGAGGTAGAGATATGGAAACAATTCCTTAAGAAGTGTATAGACCTAAGTGGAGGATATATTGAGAAGCAAAAGCTTCATTTTTTGATACTTTTTTTTAATAAATATCTCTATGATTTAGTAGCAATCCTTTTTTGACTTACCCTCATCTATACCTTGTATTCCTTATTTTACCTGGGAAAGTTTCTTCATATATCCAACCATTAAACTAATTAAATTATTATAAAAGGCAATATATAATTAAATAAATAAACTAATTTAATATTAAAAGGTTATGTGTTCTATAGAATTATAGAAGAAAAAAGTTCAGTAAATCCTGGATTAGTAAGAAGTTTCATGGAGGATGTTTTCTAAGGATTCGAGGGATGGGTAGACATGGCAGGTTAGATACAATCTTTTCTTGATTGTAGAATTTTATGATTCCACAGAAGTACATCAGGCAAAGTTGGAAACTTGAGTTGAATAGGCAAAATGGGAATGAATGAGCAGTTTCCCTGAAATAATGTTCTTCCCAGAAAAGCATGCATTTTAGAATAATGGGGAGTAGAGGGGTGGTAGGGAATAAACGTTTATGAAGACAATGAGACTAAACATTCTCAGAATGTAAAGAGTAGGAAATGTCAAGTCAAGAAAATTTCTTTCAGACAACAGAGAAAGTCTGTTTTCTGGTTTAGAGGACTAGATGACTTCTAACTTTGCAGTAGAGAGTCAGGGTACTATGTAATGTAACATCTGCAAGCAGGAAGATCACCCTGGCGGTAATAAGCAGGTCATAATGAGGCCCATCACACTGCCTGGAGGTTACTGGCTTCAGATCGCCTCCTCACAACATTAGTTCATTTGCTCTGGAATGGCAAGCGGAGGGGAGTCCCACTAGGCAAGCTCATCTATGACTCTGCTCTGCAGATTTGGGTATGTCAGAAGTCCATGGATGAGAGAAATGGGACTGTGGGAGAGAAGAAGAGCCTATTTGCACTTTTTCTATGAACAGGGCATAAAGGAGCTTTTTCAACCACACAAATTTAGAGATTTACTATTTTTAAGTGGTCGAGGGGACTTGTGGTAAGTGACAATACTATTGTTTTATCCAAGTAATGGACCATACCAAACATACTTTCTACAGCACAACTTCACTTTTCCTTACTCCACATTTTCTTGTCCTTTTGTATACCAATCACTGACTAATAAGTTGCAGCCCATTTTACAAATAGACATACCGCTGAGACGCATGTGCTAAAAAAATAGATGTCTGAAGGGATCTACTTTTAGTACCATGTGACCCATCAAGTTTAGAGAGAGCCCATTGGACCTGCAGTGTTGCAGATTCCTGCAGATGAGGTACCAGAGCTGCCTTGGACTCCAAAGGCCCTTCCAGACTCCCTGCACAATGTACTTCCACTCAACCCAGGCGAACTTCTTAGACCTTCCATTCTTTCTTTTCTTTTCCATGGAAGTCTCCTTGCCTGATTAGTTGAAGTAACCTGCGAGTTCTTGATCCTTAAAACACTTCCAGGTCATCATTATTGACCCCAGTCAGCTTCAAACTAATATCTTCTATTTTTTGGTAATAAACAGCAATCTCATATTTATATCAGTGAATATAACCTAACACTTCCTTGTGTCGTCCCTATACGAAAGAAGGACATTTGTTAAGACTGAAAACAAAGCAAAACTAAACTAACGACTAACGTGCCAGACTCCACTATTGAATCTATGACAATAGAATCTCAGAAACAAACTGTTGTTAGGTACGGTCTGATCGGTTCTGACTCACAGCAATCCTATGCACACCAGAACGGAACACCGCTGGGCTAGCGCCATCCTCCTAGTTGTTGCTATGTGGACCCCATGGTGCTGCCATTGTCCGTCCAGTTCCTTGCGACCTTCCTCTCCTTTGTTGCCCTTCCACATTCCCAAGCATAATGTCCTTCACCAAGCACTGATCTCTCCTGAGAACATGTCCAAGGTACATGAGATGATGTCACCCAGCACCGTCCTTGTCAGAACCCCTTAATTCAGTTCCTCATGTTGTGGTGACCCCTAATCATAAAATTATTTCATTGATACTTCATAACTGTCATCTTGCTGCTGTTATGAATCATAATGTAAATTGTAATGTGTTTTCCAAAGGTGTTTGGCGACTCCTGTGAATGGGTCATTCGACCCCCAAAGGGGTCGCTACTCACAGTTTGAGAACCGCTGCTCTAAGAAGCATTTTTGCTGTACTTATTTCAAGACAGTCTTGTTTGTTCTTTAGAAGTCCACCGTACTTTCAATATTCTTCTCTAAAACTGTAGTTCAAATGTATCTATTTTTATTTGGTCTTCTTTATTCAATATCACAATCACATGCATACAAGGTAATTACAAATATTATGGCTTGGGTTACAAGCACCTTTGTCCTCGAAATAACATCCTAATAACATCCTTGCTTTTCAACTCTTTAAAAAAGTCTTATGCGCAGATTTCCCCAAAGCAATGTGTTGTTTGATCTCTTCCTGTTCGTGCTGCTTCCATGAACAGTGACTGTAAATCCAAGCAAGATGAGATTCTTGACAACTTCAAACTTTTCTCCCTTGATCATGATGTTACCTATTGGTCCAGTTGTGAGGATTTTGGTCTTCTTCACGTCAGGTTGCAATACACACTAAAAGCTGCAATCCTTGATCTTCATCAGCAAGTGCTTTAAAGTCTCCACACTTTTAGCAGGCAAGGTTGTGTCATCTGCATATTGCAGGTTGTTAATAAGTCTTCCTCCAATCCTTATGCCACGTTCTTCATCAGATAAGCTGACTTCTCAGCGTACAGATTGAGTAAGTACGGTGAGAGGCTGCAACCCTGCTGCACCCCTTTCCTGATTTTAAACCCCGAAGCATGCCCTCGTTCTGTTTATACAACTGCTTCTTGCTCCGTGGTGTGTAGGTTCCTCAGGAAAGTAAAAGGGGAGCGGGGAGTAATGTTTTTAGTAGGGCCCCTACTTGTTGTTTAATCAGACCCATTAGTAAGAAAAATATTACAAGAGATAAGGAATATTGTATTGTTCTACAAAAATTATTTCCTAGAATAGAAAATATGGCTACTATCAATTTTCCACCTAAAATATACTGCACTGAAATTTAAACAAGAAAGTTCAAAATTATCTGAACAATGATTTAAAGTTTTGTTAAAAATCACTGTATTCTTCCCAGATTCTTACCTTGATGTTTACTAGTTTTTTCTCAGAGTTGCTTAATTAAAAAAAAAGATTAAAAACTGAAGGTAGTCATAGATCTTTGACCAAAAATTCCAATATTTGTACTGTTTTAGAGATAAAAGTTCTACGTCCCTATCTCATCATAAATCCTATTTTCCAAACCATTTTCTGGCATAGTTCAAATAGAGCATCCAATTTATTTATTTCAGCCCTTGCTCTTTTCAGTGACCTCATACTGAACAATCTATTAGATGAAGAGATTGGTTAACAAACAACAGCATTCTATGGCAACATTGACAAGACCTTCTGATAGACGTTCACATTGCTTCCTATTGCCCCTTAGGAAGTAGAGATACAAGCTAGTTCTGGTTTCATACCAATTACCAGTCACCCTGAAATCATCTCTAAAACAAAATAAGTGTCGGCCTATGTTAGACACACACACTCTCATACAACCACAGTTCATCTTACTTGGTAAAATAACTGGTTGCTTCGAGGTCTGTGTCTTGTGGGCGAAGGTTATCATACACATATTTTAGGTCTTGGATTCCGTTTAGCTCAGGCAATCCTGCATATAACATCTTAACAAAACAAAAGCAAAGAATAACAGAATCATTGAAAATAAAATATCTCTAGTGAGAGAGCTATATTAACATAAATTTACCCTGCAAGTACTTTAAGTGTCTACCCATAAATGAATATAACTTCATGTGTCTTAGCCTCTCATATATAGGATTGCTATGAGTGAGAATTGACAGGGTGGCAATCAATTTGGCTTTATTTAGTAGTAGAAAGAAACAATAATGATTGTAAAAATGCATAATACTATAGTTTTCAAAGTGCTCTCAGATTAATTATTCAGTTTGATCCCCATAAACCAGTAAAGTGAAAATGACAATAATAATATCCTCATCTTGTCTAATTTATATGAGGCATATTTAAAATGACAAAGTAGAAATAATAAGTGCTGTAGTCGTTTCTAAGGAATCCTGGGAATGGCACAATAGTCAAGCCCCTTGCTACTAACCCACAAAGTCTGTTTGAACCCACTGGCCAGTCTAAGTGGGAAATATGTGGTAAACTACTTCCGTAAAGACTCACAACCTTGGAAATCCTCTACAAAATTCGACTCTATCTTATATAGATTCTATGCATTGGAATCGACTGAACCAGTTCATGGGTAACACATGTTTTGAGCTCAACTACTAATTGAAGGACTTCGGCCTTCAGCATGACTATGACTCAATGTAAGGACCCAAATCCTTACAACTGGTCCAATAGGTAACATTGTGATAGATGGAGGAAAGTTTGAAGCTGGCAAGTATTTCATCTTATATGGATCCACACTGAGTTCTCATAGAAGCAGTCCAGAGATCAAAGGATACATTGCATTAGGTAAATTTGCTGCATGAGACCTTATTAGAGTATTGAAAAGCAAGGACGTTACTTTGAGGACTAAGATACACTGGAACCAAGCCATGGTATTTTCCACTGCCTCATGGGCAGGTGAAAGTTGGATATTGAGTAAAAAGAACGATGGAGAATTGATGCATTTTAATTACAGAGCTGGAGAAGAATACTGAAAGTACCATGGACTGCTAAAAGAATAAACTGATCTTGGAAGAAATATAGCCAGAGTGCTCCCTTAGAGACAAGGGTGGCAAGACTTCTTCTTACAGACTTTGGATCTATCAGGAGAGACCAGCCCCTAGAGAAGGACATCGTGCTTGGTGTGTTAGTCTGGGTAATTAGAGAAACAAATCCATAGAAACTCATAAGTATAAGAGAGAGTTTTATATAAAGGTTAAGTGCACATCAAGAAAACATCCCAACCTAGTGCTGTCCAAGCCCACATGTCCAACATTTGTCCATATGTCTGACAAAAATCCACAAAGTCCTCCTCCATCTCACAAAACATGCAATGATGCCGACTGCAGGAGGAAGGCCGAATCAGTGAACGTGTAAGCATCTCAGTGCTGGCAGGGGTCTCTACGAGGCTGCTCCATCATACAGAGTTGCATCGGGGTAGGTCCATGAGGCTTCTCCTCGGGGATGTCTTGCAGGAAGTGAGCCTTGCCAGCTGAAGTAGGGAACTGGCTAAGGCACCCTGGTCGGACCATCAGAGAGCAAGGGACCCGAGAACTCAAAAGGTGAAGCTCACCGAGCCATTTATCCCTCCACCCTTCAATTAACCCATGTGATTATCATCCAGGTTAGCACAATTAACTACCTCACGTGGTAAAGTGGAGAGGCACCAAAAAAGACAAAGGCCTTCAATGAGATGGACTGATACGGTGACTGCAATAAAAGGGCTCGGGCACAGGAACGATTGTGAAGATGGCCCAGGACCATTCTGCTGTGCCTAAGGTCATTGTGGGTTGGAACTGACTCTGGAACCCAACAACGACAACAACCATAACGAAAAGAAAGCGTGTCAGTTTGAATCCATCAGAGACACTACATAAGAAAGGCTTGGCAAACTACCTGCCTAAGATGACAATCTTTGAAAACCCTGTAGAATTGGATTTCATTCTGACACATGTGAGGTTGCCATCAGTTACAATTAATTCCATGGCTAGGAGTTATGATTTTTCTTTTGTAAAGACAATGACTGCACCTACCATTTACTACCAGTAATCTTAGATAAGCTTCCTTGATTCTCCATTTTTTATTTTTAGATATAAAAGTACTCAATATGGTCTGAGAGACTCAATGCCTAAGGAATGAGAAGGAGCTGTACACATTATAGATTATTATATGACAAGTAGGTAGCAATAGCTATTTTAATAGTAAAAATCCACAGAAAGCCATAAGTGAAGTGTTCAGATTAAGTAGTTTGTAAAAAAAGAGAATAAAAATCATGCTTCTGATTCTTAATCATGATTATTTCGGTGACTGTTACTCATACTAGATACAACACAACGTTCCTAGTTAAGGGGTGATTGTATTTAATAAAGTCATCAGAGTGATCATGAGATTAGAGATGAAGTTATACAAAGCTCAAGTGTTCTCTTCTCCAGGAAGTTACTTTGTATTAAAATGTGAGAAGAAGAGATAGCATTCTCTTTAGATATAGACACCATTTTAGCAACAGTAGATCTAAAATAAATATAAACTTTGACAAGGAAAGAGAAGGAAGACGGTCATTAGTAGCTCTATGACTAAGATGGTAAATGATTTCCTGATTTGGGGTGTTGTTATTATGTGTCATTGAGTCTGTTTCTACTTATAGTGATCTCATGCTCTGTGAAATTAGGACCAAGGCCAATAATCCTAAAAATCAAGGAAAAAATGAGAATATGGCTATGGCGGATTGGTAAAGCTGTTATTGGCATGGTAAACTCCAATTAAGGGGGAAATGGATTTGAAATTGCTCTTCTATCCTATTGTCACTGCCCAGATCAACAGACCAGGGAATATAAATGTACAGAAGCAATGTTATTTACAAAAGCGACTCCAGGAGGGCTCTCTGGAACACGGGGCAGGCAATACTGCTATCAGCTTAGGGTGTTTTAGCGGCAGAAAGGACAGTGAGCCTTATTGTAAGGGTAGTGGAAATCTCTGAAAGCACTTTGATGTAGAAGTAAATGAATGAAGTTGCAGTTTAAAAATGATAATCATGTGTAGGACATGGGTTAGAGTGGAACCAGATGAGAATATGGAATTGGACAGTGGTTAAGAATGGAGATAAGTGGTTGGATTTTAAACATATGCAGGGATTGGTGGTGAGAAAATGTAGTGATTGATTAGATAGATTAAGAAGGGTGGTCAGTGTCTAAAAATCAGGACTTTAGATGTAGGACTCATGGGCATATAAATGGTAAGGAAACATGGGAATGGATCCATTATTCCTAGAGGATTATCAAGTGTCTCTCCTTGTGGATGACCCGTTACTAATTCAAATCCATATAATCCAAATTTGAGCAAAAGACCTTCTCCCCACAACACTCTCTCCCTTTTACTACTTCATATCTTCATTTAAACTACCACCATTGTCCAACTAGCGAATTTTTATCTACTTTAATTTCTGATGATCAACTGTGGATCATTTAATTCTATGTAAACTACCTCATCAATTTTGTGTTTCATCCTCCCTTTTCAGCACAGTTGTCATTGTCCTATTTCCACTTGTCATCTTCATTTGCCTATGTTTCAATGATCTAACCTCTGAGTTACCTTCCACATCATAAATAAATGAACTGCTATCAAAGACAAAATCCCTCCTTCTGGACACAAATGCTTTTCTAGTCTAAGGGTGACTTACAATTTTTACCTTATCATCTACATCAATCTTCAATTGTATAGCAAAGTGGGTCCATCTGAACTTTTCCAGTTCCAAAACCAGTCATGCTTGTATTCTAATACAGACTTGTATGCTTTTTCTTTGCCAAGGATGCAGAGGGCTTTTTTTCTCCCTCCATGTAGACTACAATATTTTCTCAAGATTCAGCTCAAACATTCTTGTTCCTTGAAGCATCACTTAACCTCTCAGTATTATTGAATCGCTGTTAGCTTTGTACTGAGATCATGTCGAACATAACTCAGTTGAGTCCTTACTGCTTTCCAGCTTTTACTGTATTTTGTTCTTATATGTTTGTCCCAATAGATTTTAAGTTATCTTGGAATAGGAACTGGGCTTTTATTCAACGTTGAATTGTCTTTCTGTGTTGCCTTACGTGGTGTATGTAAACAATTGGAACTTAATGTCTGTGAAATAATGTCTGGATGGATGAATTGATGAACGAGTCCGCACCGGATCCTAGTAGGCATTAGAAACCTACAGTGATCACAATCAATCTGCACTACTCATGTATCAAAAGTTGACTCTGCCAAACAGTTCCTTGGGAACGGGACCCTATATTCCTTCACTTGTCCATATAGACACACAGGTAAGCACACACACACACACACACACACACACACACACACACACACCCCAATACACACTAGCTGACAAGTTTGGGCTAGTTTAAACTAAATGAATGCAAGCTCTTTCCCTGTCATGGGGCTGACTAAAGGTAACTAGTGCTAGATTCCCCCTTGTTGATATGCACCATTCCTTGGAAAGGCGGCTTTGAATGTTGTAACTCTTCACACCATAAAGTAAAGATTGCTTCATAACTGAGTCCACTTTACCCATGCCTATTGCTCTCTGTCCCACACCAGTGTGCTTTGAGTCCCTCCTCGTCTAAATTACATCTGTAGGAACTTTTACTGGAAGGATAAGTAGGGGACAAGTGACCATGATAATAACAGTAGCACTAATAAACACGTAAATCACTTTTATAAAAGATAGGCACATTTCCAAAGAGTTGGCTCCTTCTGTTCTCTTACAAGTTCAAATCTATTTAACAGTGAAGCTTAGGTAAGCAGACACTCTTCCCTGCCACAAAGCAAAGTTTGAAAGCTTTCTGCTGGGAAATATCTGATGTAATAATGGGTGTGATAAACATTTTAAACTGGGTGAATGGTCCCTATGTTCTTTGGAAAGCTTCCATAATAGTTGATATTGATTTTTTAATGAGAGAAAAGCTGACGAAATACAGGCTTTTATGTTAGTGAACTCAGCCAGCAACACTCT